GGGTGTGTGGGAGGGTGGGGGTGTGGGGTGGGTGTGGGTGTGGGTATCGCTGTGAGTGTGGGCGACTGTTCAAAGACAACTGAGACCCACACCCACACCCACACCCACACCCTAAATCGGCTTTTAACACTCTTCATTTTTGTTTTCAAGGAACACAGAATTTTCGTTTCTACATTAAAGTGCGTACTGCACTAAATATTGGAGCAAGAACTATTTACGACGAGCTGCATACGGTTTTTGGTGGTGAAGCCCCTTCTTATCGAGCAGTTGCCAGATGGGCTCAATGATTTCATGAAGATCGAGAAGAAATTGAAGATGAAGAACGACCTGGAAGAGCTGTAGCTGAGACCAATCTTGACAATATCGAAGAAATTCGTAGTATTGTTAACGATGATCCTCATGTTACAATAGCAGAATTACAGGAGCATACTGGTCTAAGCTATGGCATCGTTCATCGAATATTATCGGATCATCTGGAACTTAGAAAAATTACTGCTCGTTACATATCCAAACAGCTAACGGATTATCAACGAAATGAACGAGTTCGAATATGCAAAGAAAATCTATCAAAATTTACAGAAGGATGATAGCGTTTGTCTGACATGATAACAGGTGATGAATCGTGGTTTTTCCATCACCAAACTGATCGAAAAGTTTGCAATGCTGCTTGGATGGCAAAAGATGATCCTTCACCAATAATAATACGACGAAATAAGTTTGCTCCTAAGACTTTATTTTCCATTTTCTTTAAATCAACTGGTCCTCTTCTAATCCATCGTATCGAACGTGAACAGACTATTGATCGCCATTATTACATCGAAAATTGTTTGCAACCTGTGATCGAAGAAATTAAGAAACAAAGACCTTCCTCAGGTACTCATACTATAAAACTTCATCATGATAACGGACGAGCACATGTCCATCAAGATGTCCTCGATTATCTTCGTTCTAAGGGAATTACTATAGTACAATATCCACTCAATTCTCCAGATCTATCTCCCTGTGATTTTTAGTTATTCGACCTTTTCAAACAAAATCTAACTGATCAACCTAATTCCGAAACGTTACATGACGCCATAACTGAGTTTATGTATTCTTTAGATAAAGACGAGTATAGAAAAACGTTTGAGAAATGGATTCAAAGAATGCAGTTGTGTGTAGATAGTCAAGGCGATTACTTTGAACATTTAATCAAATAAAACTTATTGACCTTGCTCATGTATTTTCGATTTTCGAGTATGCCGATATGAATAAACGATAAAGTCTCAGAAGAGACGAAAGAAAAAAATAAAGGAAAAAAGAAAAACAGAGAAAAGATAACGAAAAAAATGCATATTGAAGACATTGTGAATTTCTGTAACCGATGCACATGTTAGGCAAGCTAGTTTTATTAGAATTTTGTTATTATGATGTCAAGCGAAGTACGATCAAGTAGCATAGAAAGATGGTGCATTTTCCGCTCCATCATCCTATGTAAAAAGAATTTTTTATCAACCCTAAAATATGGTAATAAAATGTCGTTGCCACTACTTTTGGACACCCCTAAGTATTTTAACAATAGAGATTATTCGAATGAATGGGAAAAGAACGAAAAGAAAAATGTCGAAAATACCGAAGGCAAAGGAATAGAGAAGATATAAATATTAAACGACCGTTTGATTGCGATAAATGAAACGTAATTTTTAAGCAGCATCGTCCTCTTTTGTATTTCTACTTTTGAAATGTCGAACATACACTACATGTTGAAATAAATCCATTTTTGAAGCATTTATTTACCCAAGAAGGATCACTTAGTTTTACCTACCGCAGATAAAATGACTATATTTTCTAATATGATCAATTTTCTTTAGCAAAAAGAAAAGTCTTTTTTTTAGGAATGAGCCGAGTCTATATTTAAACTAAACAAAACCATCAACTACAACAGATTGCCATGCATATGAAAATAGAAGATGTGTTTCAAAATTTAATAGGTATATACATGGAATCCTTGCGACTAGTAAATTTTATCTAAGGAAATGAAAATTGGAATGTTGTAAGCACAATTATAGAATCTATTTAAAATTTCTCCCGAAATTCAAGGATCCGACATGAAGTCTTTAAGCTTATATTTGAGACAATAATCTATCACATATCAACCGTTATACACTGAGATAAGTAATTACAAATTCTTGTGTTTTGGCTGAAGAATTCTTTATTCACAGTTATTTATAGAATAATGCAAAACGATATCAGATACCTTTCATCCGTAACACGCCGTCTTTTGAGAGGTTAGAAACGTGCAAAATAACATAAACACTTTTCACTCACACAACAAGAGTTGTTATATCTATGCTTTATGTCATTATAGATTTGATTTCACTAGAATTTTTGCTACAAGTATTAACTTTCATAAAAACGGAATCTTCAATGATTAGTTAGTACATAATTCATCGAAGATGAGTACCATGTATTGACCTATTTTGGTTCCTAATTCAGTACTTTTGTTCGGTACTATTCAGTTTTAATCAGCATAAAAATGACATCTTTTTGATTTGACACAGTTATTTTTTTTTACACTTGTCTTTCTATATTTTTCCTTTTCGACATTTTTCTTGTCTTCCTTTTTCCATCATATCGATTAATCAGTTCAACTGCAATATTTGAAATAGAATGTAACAATATGTATTTGAAAATATATCTGTTTTCTTCATTATTATCACACATACATTTTCCAGTTGTACTTCCATTCATTTCTAGTCGATTTTTATATTGTATATTCTGCTCGCATATTTTGCTTGCCTGCTTAAAATATCTATTTCAAAAGAAGAATATGTTTTACATTCTGTTATTTTATAATTATTCTTTTTGGTTCAATTATTAATTCTTTTTTTATTTAGAACTATTGATTTTCTTTTTGCTTTAAAAAAAAGTTGTTATACAGTGACCTGAAGAGTGTTTTAATATTTTAATAACATAAACACGAAACGCATAGACGTCAAAACAAGAAAACTATATCATTTATTATCATTTAATTTCAACCGAGCAGAACTATTTCTTTTTCTCAAAATCACATATTCTATCGACTTCATCGGTTGCTGAAAAGCAAAAATGTGAGAGCAACGAAATGATTTATATTATTTTAAAAAAATATTGATTGATTTTTTTTGAAATTAATTCCCACATTCACAGCCACCCCACACTCAAATAATATTATTTATAACAATTACAGAAGTTAAATATGTGCATTGTCGGAATTTATTTGAGGAATGTTAATAAATAATATGTTTCAAATATTGATTATTTCGTAGTATTTTTTGTCTACTCAACTAAAAGCAATTATAGTATTTTGTCAGTATTCCCTGTTGGATTATTATAAGCGTTGTAATCGAACAGTTACATTATTCTTCAATGTAATAAGCAAATATTGTCCATTTTCAACTTTAAAATTCCGAATATCGCATACTAAACTAGAAATTCCACATTCTAGAACCATCTGTCTTAGTGATGGATGCTGACATGTTGATATAGCATGAACACGTTCCCATTCGTTACTTTCAGAATCATACTTAATCTCAGACATTATAGTATTAACTCCCTGTCCACTAACATAACATTGATTTGGATTTTCAGCATCACAACCTATGCTAATTTCGCAATCAACACATTCAGGATATCCTGGATAGTCAAGAACTTTCCATTGACCTGCAACTTCCACGCCTCTTGATGACATGATGAGATAAATCTATAACAATAAGACAATTAAAAAAAAGGAACATATTTCTAACAATGATAAAAAAATCGATCTGGATACTTTAAAGCATATTTCTGAAGAAAAAAATAATGTACATTAACATGAAAGCACCTATTCGAAAATGAGAGGGAAAAGAAAAAATGTATTTATATGATGTAGCTCTATAGTAATTTTTCCTTTCACCTCCATCGTTTTCTCACGCAATGCAGTCATATCTATCGAACACACTGAAAAAATAACTAAGCATCCAATCTGAGACAAGGACAAAATAGCAAGAAATGAAAAAAAAGGTAACTTTCATGGACATATCAACGTTAATGACAGCAATATAAGAAATAATTAGAATGTTTTTGTATCAAATGAATATGTATTTTAAACGTACGCATGAAAATGAAAACCTTAGATTACCTAGACATGTGTCGAAATTAGTGATCTAACTTGAATAAACATTTATAGATAGCAGATACTCGGACAGGTGAAAGAATGAAAAAATGATATTTCAATGCAGTAGAATTGTACAAAAAAAAATAGTAGTGTCAAAAAGTCAAAAAACAACAATGCCAAAAAATGCATGTTCTGTGATCCATTATAATGATTATTTTTGACTTCATGAAAATGATTTAACCAGTAACATTTCAATCCTGATAATGTAAACTATTTTTTATCGTCGTTTAATAACATTATTTTTATTTCTTTCACTGACTTGATAATTCTTCGTTTATGTCAAAAAAGACTCATTTTTATCAAGTCCTGCTGACGTTTTGCATAATTACTTTTTCAGACACATCTTGAAGACCGAATCTTGGGTAATAGAGTTCAACTTTGACCTTCTTCACAGAAGAAAATAAGCGTTTGAAAAGGGTTCTCTCGCGTTTTACAAATAAACATGTTCTTCTAGACAGAAAAAAACATACGAGTTGCTCTTATGAAATGCCATAAAGATTTTAGATTACCGAATCAGCTTCTCTGTTCATGTGACAATCTAGAGTGTTTATTACACTTCATTACAACAAATTTTTCGTCTAATAAAAAGATGTAATTAAGTTGCACGACACCACAGAATTCGTCTTAATTTCTTATTTTTCTGTGTGAAGGACAGTGTTGATATGGGTGGGTGTTGAATAATGAATGCACGCACACCTCACACCCACACCCAAATCAGATTTTAGACTTTTTGACTTGAGTTCTTTCAAGTATAGTGATCCGATTACAGACTAGACCTAAAATAATTGATTTTAAGCTAAACGTTGAAATAAACTCGTGTTTTTCAGCAAATCCTCTAGTAAACAATATCGTTAGTTGGTGTGTTAGTAACCGAACGGATTTTTAGTAGAAATTTTTAAGTGTATAGCGCTGTTTTTTTTACAAAAGTGTCACCAGTTTGATCTGTTTCATTGTCCCTTAGCAGACTGAAAAATAAGCTCTTATTCTTTGAATATATGTGAATATCGTCGCCATAATTTAGTTCTTTAGTTTTTTTGTTGCGTATCAGTGTAAGGGTGCCAATCTGACTAGATGTATTCGTAACGCAAGTACTCTGCCTTGTCCACGTACCATGGTGCAAAACGAGATGGACGCTAATCTCAGAATACACAAACCTAACCACTCTCTTAAAATATTGGGTTCTCCAGGTGTTGAAGAGTGTAAAGCCGTATAAAATATGAAAGAATTGAATATAAAGTCGAGGACCAAGCGAATTACACGAACGACTGTTGCTTGTATTGTGTCGATCAAGCTTGAGAGATTATATCAACACAAGTCAGAAAAGATGAAAACAAGTATTGCAGTCATTTTGAATACAGTCCTTCTATCCTTGCTAACAATTAAATTATAATATAAGATCGCATCTTTTGTTTTTGTCTTTTTTATTAAAACAACAAACAACTTTAATTTTTAAAAATGATCTTGACATGAGCATAGTTCATCTGGATAAAAACGATGTATGCGATTTTCATCACGAACAACTATCTTAGATTGACGAATCAAAGCAATTAATTTTGTTGCTTGATCTATTAAGAAAAAGTAAAAAAAGAAGAAGTCTATTCAAAATTGACAACAATCGCCACAAACACGAAGATTTTTCGTAATTTGAATACGTTTGAGCTTTCTATTAAACATAAAATTAGCAGTGAATAGCAAGACGTTCACTATGTCCACATAGAACTGATTCAATTGTTTCATCATGTTCTATTGGTCTTGTAATCCACCTTGCATCGCATTCATATCCATATTGAATCAATTCTTTTGATATTCAATCAACCTCTGCATAAAGTTCATCAGAGTGTGGATATGATCGATCATGAGCACGAAATTTCTATGAAAATAAATCGAAGGGTGTGGGTGTGGGTGTGGGTATGGGTGTTTTTGTGGGCATGAGAGAAGAAAAGATACCGACGCTGACACCCACACCAACACCCACCCACACCCACACCCGCACCCAGACACCCACATCCACACTCACACCCTGATGATCTCTTCTTAAGTGCACATAACAATCATATTTTAATTCGAAGCTGTCGCATTTATTTTGTATCAATAAAGAAAAATTTAATCGCAAAAGATACAGAAAAAGAAAGGCATTGATTAAAGTAATTAAGGAAACATGATATCCGAAAAGGAGAACAAAATAAACAGTCCACCGAGTAAGTTCTTGGATGTCTCCAGAATATTAGACAAGTCCGTTCAATATGTTGAACAAAGTTCCGTTATCCATTGCTTGTAAATTACCATGGAGATGACCAGTGCGATTGTTAATTTCAGTGATCACTGTATTTCGTACATCATCATCACTCATACCTTCCAATGTATCTCGAATACCACTTCGTAATAATAGTTCGCGTAAAGCATATTCAGCTGAAACACTCATGTTGTTGTTTATGTCGTTCTTTCGTTACTTGTCTTGTATACTAATAGGTAGACAATCGATTCTCTTATTTTATAGTGTTGAGATGAAAAAGATAGGCAACGTGCGAAAAACCATTATCACCTTCATTTATTGGTTGATCGATCTCGCAGAAAGATAAGAGAGTGATATATAACTCATAAATATTATTTATTTTATAGGATGGTAATTGACAGAGAGAAAAATTGATGACGCATAGAAATGTTGATGTTTATTTCGGACATTTTGAAGGTGTGTTTCACTCAGGGCTGTCGCGACCGGGGGGAACGGGGAGTGCCCCCTCCCAATATTCGGAAATTTTGTTTTTTTGCTTGATAGTTTTTTCAAATTTTTAAGAAATTCTCAAAACTTTCAGAAGAATTTTCGAAAAACTTTCAAAAATTCTTCAGAAATCTTCAAAAATTTTCAAAAACTTTCGAAAAACTTTCAAAAACTGACCAAAAGTTTCCAAAAACCTTAGAAAATTCCCAAGAATTTCCAAAAAATTTTCGAAAACCTCTAAAATTTTTGAAAAAATTCCCAAAATTCCTCAGAAACTTGCGAAAAATTTCCAGAAGTCCTCAAAAATCGTCGAAAAACTTCCAAAATTTTGTTCCAAATGCCAATAATTTCTAGATTTTTTTGAAAAATGTTCGAAAAATTTTTCGAACCCTCACCCAATTCTTAACCTGTCGCGACAGCCCTGATTTCACCATAGAAACTATCATGAAGCGTTTCGATCTTATTTAAATTATAAGATGTGTTTCGATGGCAGTAAAATTTTCTGCATTAAAACAAATTAAGAACGAAATGGACCTCAAGAAATGAAGAAATTCCTCTTGAGAAAGCCAACTTAATCTCGATTGAACCATCATGGCGAATAGTTGATCATAATGAATTTCGTAGCCTATTCTAAGCTACTTCAACCGATTTCATTCTTGCTTAAGTGCTCATCGCTAAATGAATTCGTCTTTTCGTGTCATTATACCAATATTGTCGGCTCATCTAGGTTCTCTCCTCGATTCCAGGCTATTATTCTGTATTCATGCATCTGCCTGTTCTTCCACATATGACTGAAAAATTTCACTGTCATAATAGAATAACAGGGTGGAAAATAATATTATTCAAGGGGGGGGGGGGGGGGGGCGGTTTAATTTTAAATAGAAAAAATTATGAATTTTTTTCCAAATGAAAAGCCGTGAAAAAAAGGAGGTGTTTGGTACTAAACAGGTGGGG